CTTGAGCAGAGATCGTAACTGTCCTGCAGAGTTTAACTCCATCTCTAATCAAACACACCTAAAAAATCCAATCTTGAAAGGACTGCACTGAAAATTACAAAAAGGTGTGTTTTCTCAGAGTGTGTTGACTGCATAAGTTAGCCATTCAACACAGTTACTGAAGTTGGTGTAAGAAAAAAAGAGATCAAACAACAATGTATATTTTATTTGTTAGAAATATGAGTTTATCCTTAACTACAAAATCAACATTTGGCCTCTAACCAGCGCGCCCCTGCTGAGTAACAGACTAATTAATAAATCTGCAACCCTGTTACTTCATGCTTTTCCACCTACTACTAATACTAATCTTTAAAATTGTTATACCAAAGAAGACATTTGGGCCCATTTGCAGCATGACCTCATTGGCGCTTTCTCAGTTTTTTCACAAAAATGTAATGTTGACTTTGTTCATTATGCCATTCCACCCTGTTACCAAAATTATTATTGGGGGAAAAAAAAGATAAAAAATGTATGTATCTTTTATTTATTGGAAACTTGTGTTTATCCTTTACTACAAAATCAGTATCCTCTAATTAGGTTGCCCCTGCTGAGTAACAAGAGTAATTTAGACTAAATTTGCAACCCTGTTACTACATGCTTTCCCGCCTATTACTAATAATAATATTTAAAATTGTTATACCAAAGAAGTAAAACACATTTGGATCCATTTACAGCATGATCTCATTTGCACTTTCCCAGATTTTTTTTCACAGAAATTGAATGTCGACTTTGTTCATTATGCCAATCCACCGTTACCAAAATTATTCTAAGAAAAACAAAAAAAAGATCAAGCAAATATGTCTCTTTTTATTTATTGTAAATATGATTTTAAAATAAAAATCATCATGTAACCCATAAGTAGCTCATCCTGCTGAGTAACAAATCTGCTTAGCCTAAATCTGCAACCCTGTTACTGCATAATTTTCCAACTTTTACTAATAATAATCTTTAAAATTGTTATACCAAAGTTGTAAAACACATTTGGACCCTTCAACCCTGTTGTAAGAGAAAAGATAAAACAAATTTTTTTATTTTTTTTCAAAATTTGACCTTTAACTAGCTAGCTAGGTAGCTAATAAAGGCTAAATCTGCAACTATGTTACCTATAGTTTATTATATTAGAACTTTTTACTTAGAATTTCATTTAATTATTATGGTTAAGCACCTCAACTCACTGACAAAAACTTCCTAATTTGGACTTTTAAGCACTATTTCTTAACCTATTGATGAAAAGTGCCAGCAAACCAGCAAATGAGTTCTCTTTTCTTGGGAGATGAAACAAAGCCCTTATTGCTGACAAATTACTTGTTATGAAAGGAATGATTGTGAAATATTCTAAGGTGTGGTTCTTTGTTTGAACAGAGTGCGGGTCAATTAGAATGATTTAGTGCCAAAATCAGGGTTTCTACTGTACAATTTAACCTAGTTCTGAAAGCGTGCATAAAATCTTTGTTCCCTACTGTCAAGGCCATGATTTCTAAATTTAAATGTCTCATGAATATGTTAGTGCATGCCAACTTCTCTTGTTAAAAGAGCTGCTGCTGAGGTGGCTTAAACCCTGAATGCAGGTAGATTCAGGTTAAAACATTGATAGTTTTTAATATGGGGGTTTTCCTGATAACAAACTGCATTGTTTGCACAATACAGTAAAAAAAAAAAAAAAAAAAAACGTTTAAGCACAACAGTTCGTAATAATTTTTTCCCAGCCAACCCCAAACAAACATTAATAAACTGCTAATGTAATTCCCATCTTAAAGCAGTAACTACGTACAGGTCTATGTGGACTCTAGGATCATAATGTGTTTGAATGTGATACCTGAAAACACTCCTCCTCTTCACAGGCGCTGATAATTTCTATGATGCGATTGAAGAGATGATTGGTTACAGACCAAATCCCTGGATGAAGTGGAGTTGGACTGTAGTCACACCTTTTCTGTGTGTGGTAAGTTCTTTTTAGGTGAAGAAAGAGTCCCCAAAACAGGTTCAATTAGTAGTTTGCTTATTTATAGATGCATTGTTCATAAAAACAGTGAGAAGTGCTTGTCCACAGATCTTGTTAGGCCCACTACACAGTATGTTTCCTAAAATGACACACTGAGGAGGTCCTATGAAAGTATTTTTAGTGCAGTTTGAGATTGTGTGTTCGTCTACCCTCCCCCATGGCTACACATGCAAATACTGCTTTTACGCTTTGGATTTGCTGCAAAAATCCGGCTCCCATCTCACTGTAACAGAGCTCCAGATGGGGTGACCATCTGCCTGGCCAACAGAATGAATGAAAGGAGCTGAGGACGAATGCAGGATTAGTTTCCATGAGATCATGAGTGTCGTTTTTCTGTGAAGATCATAGGACTATAGGGGGGAAAATCCCTTCCTTATGTACAATACAGCCATATAGCTTTTAAAGACTGAGGAGACTTTTATCTTCCTTTAAATTAAATGGCTCTTTTGCAGTGGATTAACCTGTTTAGTCATTTTGGAAACTTGGTTTTAGCTCTATAAAGAGCGAATCACACAAAGAGAAGCCTAGATCATAATTCGCCCACTTACCTACCAACCAACCTGCCTGCCTACCTAGCTACCTACCTACCTACCTACCTACCGAAAGAAAGAATTTCTATTTATTTATTCAATAATAAATAAAACAAAAGTAAGCTTAAAAGAGTTTTTCATTTATCTGTCATTTTGATTAGTCCGAGAGCAACGTCACAGTAATGGGCGACGGCACTCATGTATTGGAGGCTGGATTGAGTGTGCTGTTGATACCCCTGCTTTGTCTTCTGCCGCAGGGATGCTTTGTCTTCTCATTGGTCAAGTACACACCCTTGAGATACAACAAAGTCTACGAGTACCCGGATTGGTCCATTGGAGTCGGCTGGACCCTCGCCCTCACGTCCATGATCTGCATACCAATGGTGGTTGTGATCAAAATCATTCAATCAGATGGACCCCTCATAGAGGTGAGTCAGTCGTGTCAACGACAAAAAGGTTTTTCACCAATGAACAGGCCTATAACATCGCTATACGTTTCCCTCCAGAGGATCAAAGCGGTGGCGGCACCCGTGAGGGGAGGAGCCAGTTCTTGCCCTCAGGAGTACCAGCCCAAATGCAACGAGCTGGCGCAGCCGCTGGACCCCAACTGGAACGGAGGCTTGATGAAGCCCACCCACACCATCGTAGAAACTATGATGTGAACACTCTCTGTGAGAGGATTCAATGACCTGCTTTTCCATTATATATATATATATATATATATATGTGATTCTATATAATACATGTATTAACAATATACTCTGTAACTTTTGACATAGTCGTAGGACCAGGTTTACATTGCTACGCATCTGCACTAGGAGTCCTTGTTTTGTTTTGTTTTTCTACAGAGAAAGTTAAATTTTTCTGTCTGTATTTTTAATATTTTTATCATACTACTATTATATTACTATTATTGTCGCTGTTATTAGAATGAGAACAGATCGTAAACAGCAGTATCCTGAACGTAGAACCATGACCGTTCTATTTTTGTAACTTTTATCTTGTACATATCAAAATAAAAACTGTTGTTTATTTTTTAGAGAATCAAGGGAAAAAACACAAAGGGCTCCGTAAACGTGAATCGCGAAAAGTAACGTTGGTGTACAAAGATAAAAAAAAAAAAAAACACCCTCATCCTCGCCAACATGAAAGGCTCATCTTTTTAGGGATAGAAGTCATTATGCATTATTGTAGAGCTTTAAGGGTGTCCCGACAAACTGTTTAGACTGGAGATTGTGCTGTCCGGAAGAATCGAGCCGTTAGCACTGCTTGTTTTCAATGCAGTATACCACTAAGGACACTACATTCTCCATATTGTTGCACCATTTAAATGGATAGTTTACTAAAAAAAGTCATCATTTACTCACCCTCAATTCGTTCCAAACCTGTATGACTTTCGTTTTTTCTGTGGAACATAGAATGATTCAACAGTTTTTGTCCATACAATGAAAGTCAATGGGGTGCAAAACACTGACTTTCAGGGGACGTTTACAACACACTGTTTTCAACTAAAAATTTAAAAATTTTATGCGTTTTGGCATTCATTGACACGACAATTGCATTTTGGGGGCTTGAAAATGCAAACTTTTGAAAACGGGTTTCATAGTTCAAGTTTTTGATAACAATAGCATTATCATCTCGGTGTAAACTATAAAAACACGAATTTGTGAAAACAGAGACGTTATGCGCATGCATATTACGTCTTCAGTCTGTAAGCGCATAGTGTTTCTTTACAAAGTGACATCGCCAACTACTGGCCTGGCATGCATAATAACAGCATTTTTACTAGTTTTTGCAGATCCGTGTGAATGGGGATTGTTTAGACAATGTTGTCGTTTGTTCATGAAAAACGCAAAGAATAACTCTTCGTTTTTTTAATAAATAGTTTTTGTGTAAACGTACCATCATTATATAAAAAAAAAAAACGGAAAAAAAAAATTTGAAATGTCTCAAACAATCGTCTTACATGTTCCTCAGCAGAAAGAAACATCGTGAGAGTGAGTAAAAAAAACGTTTAGTTTTGCGTGAACTGTCCCTTTAAGTCTAACTGTTTTGTAAACTTTCCAATGTCGTGAGTTGGAAACGGTGCGTGACTTCGGAATTATGCGTCACACTAATTCTTATCAGTCTCTTCCCTCTTCTAAAAATGCATTCACAGTGAGTGACTTTTGTAGCAAATACAACAGGCATGTCCATTCTATTTGTGAAACCCCACCCCACAAATTTAGAGTTTGAGCCTAGTAAATCTGGGCCTGATTTGAAAGTATATTCACTGTGCTATTTCTTAAGTCGCCCACATTGATTCATAGTCACCAAACACGTTCTTATTTTGGGATGTCGGAATGTGAAGCTGCCTGGCAATATTTAAAAACCACATAGATTCAGGGTAGTTTCATACATTTTGTCTCAAATCTGTTTTTTTTTTATTATTTCCAATCACATTTGCCTTTTGTATTCAGAAACATCACTGTATTTGACTATTCTGTTCAGCAGTTACTAATAGATCTCATCCACAACTTTTAATCGACAAAAAAAAAAAAAAAAGCTTGCTGTGAAATGTAATGTGCAATACTTTGTAGAACGATATGCATTGTTCCTGTCTTCACCTGTCTTTCAGAAAGTTGGTGCATGGAAGTGTGGAATTACGTATGACTTTTAAGCTGTTGTAATATGTCAGAAACAATGAACAGGGGCCAATTTAAGCTGCCGTACACGGTATGCCGAATTAACATCCACAACTTTTAATCGACAAAAAAAAAAAAACAAGCTTGCTGTGAAATGTAATGTGCAATACTTTGTAGAACGATATGCATTGTTCCTGTCTTCACCTGTCTTTCAGAAAGTTGGTGCATGGAAGTGTGGAATTACGTATGACTTTTAAGCTGTTGTAATATGTCAGAAACAATGAACAGGGGCCAATTTAAGCTGCCGTACACGGTATGCCGAATTAACACCAAAAACTCAATGCAGATTTACTTACTGTGACAATTTGTACTTTTTTAATTAGAACGTAAAGCTTAATTCTAAGGATAATGCCAATGTTATGGATTAAATTTATTGGATTTAATATGAATTTTTTTTTTTTTTTTGACTTTGCCAAGTTAAAACTGTAAGCCAATCGCAAAGGGAGATGCTCAGTTGATCTCAACAGCTTCTACCTTGCTACCTTTGGGATGCTTCATTACAGAAATGTAAATGTTGAGAGAGGCACAATTTTTTTTTAATACAGAGATTAATGTGCATTCTCAGGGTGTTTTAATAACAGAGACTGGTTTCCCGCTGTTGCGCGTTTTTGAAACCCTTCCATTTTTAAAGAACAGCTAAAGGGGGCAGTGTTTATGCAAGAGAGAACCTTTTTAAAGTAATGATCAGAAATGTTTTATTTTTTTATTTTGAGGATATCTGTAAGTTAAAAAAAGCAAGTGTATCGATAAAGATTTTACTGTATACCCCCCCCCCCAAAAAAAAAAAAAAAAAAAAAAAGAGAAAAAAGAAAAATGGAAAAAAGTTTATATCTCTTAATAAACATTTATCTTTTAAAACCCTTCTGTTTGTGGTGAACATTTAACATTGAACATTCAGAATATGTAAAATATAATTTTACCATTGTACTATTTATTCAGTGTTTGGTTATATAAAATGACGTAATGTTTTGTTTGGCTTAAATGTTGAGTATAAACTCTCCATGTGTGTTTTTTTCCTGACCTCAGCATCTTTGACATGGTAAATATTGAATTTTTGGCTGCTTACTGTGACCTATAAACAAAAAGAAACGCACTTACATAGGCATACTGCTGGTGAATGGAAGGAATGATTAATTCTTATGGCACTGTTTGTTCTTAGAGGAACAAATGATCTCAAGATGACAAAAACGGATTCATCTGGGCTTTTCTGGATGGCGTCATTTCAGTTGTTTCACCTCATGACTCATCATTCCTCTAAAATGACTCTTTTTTTGATCATTTTCCTCATGTTAAACAGGATTAGCATCCTTTGGCAATCCTGTTAAAATGCCAGAACATCAACACCCACAAAAAAAGCCTCAAACTCATCTGCCACAATGACGCTATATTTGGTAAAAACACTGCAGAAAGAATCCAGCTACATTCACATTCCTCAGGATCTGCCTCCAATTAGCAGAAATAGACTGTATCTATCACTCTCTATGTATCTGTCTGAATATTATCTATCCATTCATCCATCCCTCTATACTGTATATCTACACATCTGACTATCTAGCCATTTAAATATCTACTGTATCTATCCATCCATTCGAATATCTATCCATCCATCCATATATCTATACGTCTGAATATTTATGCATTCATCCATCCATCCAAATATCTATCACTCATCTAAATATTTATCCATGCGAACATCTATCTGCGTATCTATTCATCCAAATATCTCTTTTATCAATCTGAATATCTGTCCATCCGAATATCTATCAATCTGAATATGTGTCCATCTGAATATCAATCCATCTATCCATATATATATACACATCCAAATATCTCTTAATCCATCCAAATATCTGAATATTTATCCATTCATCTATCCATCCAAATATCGATCTATCATCTAAATATTTATCCATCCGAACATCTATCCATCTATATCTATCTATATCCATCCATCCATCTGAATATCTATCAATCTATATATATCCATCCATCCATCCGTATATCTACCCCTCTATATATATCTGTCTATATCATCCATCTATCTACCCATATATCTGTCCATCTATATCTATCTGTCTATATCCATTCATCAATTCAAATATGTATCCATCTGAATATCTATCCATCTATATCTGTCTATATCCATCCATCCATCTAATCTGTTTAAATCAGAAAATAAAATTACAAATGTAGATCATCCACGAAAGTCAATGCAAAAGTCAGAATGCTTATTTTTTACCCGGCATCACAGAGACACTCCTGAACTGGTGTCATGTTGGCCTGAGGACGTAACCATAGCAACAGCATGCTGCTCAAGTACGCTCTGTTCAGTTCACTATCAGGTATAACATCAACATAAGTGCTGTCAGTATTTCTCAGATATGAGCATTTTTCTCATATATTTACATGTACAAGTCTGGATACTGGATCTTTGACAATTGGCTAAAGGGGCACTGAAAAACAGTTTTGGTTATGCAACACAAGTGCCACAAAATTAGCTTTAGACCTCATAGAAAGTGATTGTATAATACACATAGTGAGCAAAAGTGATCCTGTGTGCTTGTGTTGTACAGCTCAACACCCACAATTCACTTTCAAAAATAGCCCTCTCCATTTCTCAGGTGTTGAAAAGCACGTTTAGAAAAGAAAAGTATAAAACAGAACAGCATCTCAAAAGCACTAGCTGCTTAACTCACCAGTAGAATAACGTCACCAGCCAATGACTTACAGAGACTCAGGGGTTAAATCAGGTCCTGTGGGAGAGAGCACAGTACATTTTAGCCCTTACCTCTGCTCTACTTGGACATGATGACTTCACCTGAAGTGTGTGACAGGTGAGTCTTTCAAAGACTTATTTACTCATTTCAGAGCCTCTCAGAGCAACTTTTGCAAGGGCAGAGAGTTGATTCAGCAGGCTTGTGATCTTATTAGATGTCATTACTACTTCACTAGCAGCCTTTGCTTAAAAATATAAATAAATAATACTACTACTACTACTAATAGAAAGCTCTGAATATTAAACGTTATACTTGGAACAAAAGAATAAAGCAGAAGAAATTTCTGTCATGCAAGCAGCAAATTCCATAGCAAATATTTTTTTATTTAAATGTATATTATATGTATATATATATCAAATAAAAACAACTTACCAGAGGCTGTATGACATCATAGTTGATAATACTCTCATAGCAGGTGAAATTGAACCTTCAGGATCAAGGCTGACATTTTATGTGTTCATAAATATATCACAGAGCTTATAAAAATAAATAAATAAATTAATTAATTGACTTTAAAAAACAATCATCTGACAGACTGGTGATCCAGTGTTATAATTGTAATACAATCAATAGGAAATCAAATAAAATGGTGCATTTATGTTAAGCGCAGATAAACATAACTAATGGCAGGTAAAAATGTGGGGCATGGAGTCTTGATCTAAAGGATATATCTCAAGAATCAGTGGCCTCGCACAAATTTGCATTTAACATGATCAAACATTGAATTCGACTCAGAGTGGTGCATTTTACCTCTTTTATTCAGTTGTTTTTAGAAAAGGATATCATTAGCACATTCCCATATCGATTAAGAATGGGTCTTCACACCAAACCAGTCTAGCCAAACCAGAATATATTTGATTATCGGTTCTCTTTTTCCATTGTGCTTCAAATACGCTGTGGAAACAGCAAGGTTTAGAGTTCATACAAAAATACTGTACAGAGAATAGAACTTTCATATTACACATTCAAAAATACACATTAATATCAATGCACACATTAATAAGGAATTCAAAATGCATAGGGATGAACACGTTTGGAGCTTTATAAAGCTTATGTAAAATCCTTTAAAAGCCTTCTCTGGTCTCAATATTGCACATATAAAAGGAACCACATTGTCTTAACTCCTGGAATAGTACATACAACATGTTAAAATACTTACACTGAACAATACCATGGTTAAATGTCTGTGAAATGAAAACAGCCCCCTTCTTTGACACTTCGTTTACTGGCCTGCAATGCGATGACCTGCAGACAAAATGTGGTCTACCACAAAGCAGACAAAAAAAAAAAAAGAAACTTTAAATAAAATAAAGGTCTTATTTTTTGCAGTCAGCTTTTGGAGGCAGTTGGTAGAATTACACAACTGACAGGAAGGTTGTGGGGAGAAAAAAAACAAAAAAAACTTAAAAGGGGCCTAGGAGCGAGCCCTGGGTAGACTCCTAATGCGATGGGCCTAAACAGAGACTCTGATTGTTCAACAAAGTCTTGTAGAACAATGAGTGCTTTCTACTTTACTGCAAACTACAGACTTTTAAGTGTAGGAAAACTGCTTGAATCACACAAGGGAGGAAGTCCTGGGAGGGAGGTATTTGCTTATGGTTATTAGATGAACCAAGAAACATCTTTAAGTCTGCAACCAATACAGAGACAAAAATACAGTAGCTTTCATCAGTGGGTAACTTTTTAGTGTTTTAAGGAGTACTTTACCCCAAAATGAATATTCTGACATTATTTACTCACCCTTGTGTTGGTTCAAACCTGTACACTCCTAAAAATAAAGGTTACTTTTTAACATCGATGGTTCCATAAGGAAACTTTAACATCCATGGAAATGTTCCATTCCATTAAAGGTTCTTTACAGAAGAAAAAACGTTCTTTAGATTTTTAAAATGTTCTTCAGACTAAGAAAAAAAAAACGGTTCTATGGTTGATCACTGAAAGGTTCTTTTGGGGAACCAAAAATGGTTCTTCTATGGCATCACTCTTCTATGGCAACCCCCTTATGGAACCTTTATTTTTAAGAATATACAGCGTCATTTATTATGTGTAGGAAAAAATAAATAAATAAAAATGTTCATGCAGCTCAATTTATATACAACAACAGTTCATAGTGACCATGTCCATCAAGTTGCAAAAAGCACATATGATAGCTTTGCGCAAAAATTTTGGTAATTTTGGTAAAGTAAAACATGATTTTGAATGAACTATTTCTTCAGTTAATAAGTTGGTTTAGAAAAATGATCAATTTCTTCATCCAGGATAAAAATACTGTGTAGGGTCTGCCCCAACTATGTACAGTATATTTGAATCGTAACCCAATTAAAGACTTTTATTTTTTAAGAGTATTTAGAACACAGTGTTCCCTTTGCATATACAAAAAAAAAAAAAAAAGGAACCAGTTCCCAGAATAAAACCGGTTCTTGATTCCTAGATTAGGCGTCCTAACGGTGGTTTTCGAGAAACTTCAAATACATCAGATTCCATACGTCTCAAACCCACAAACCTACACGAAGGGATCAGACACACCCTCAAACAAGTTTACTTTAACCACTTTAACCAGTTGTTCATGTCAAATGTTCCACAAAAGAATTGTCCTGTGGTGTGAAACGGTTTTCATAGCAGCGGAATATTCCATGATCCAAACACACAACACAACAGAAGACACCAAACGTCCTCAGTTCCCCTTTCACATGTCAAGATATATTCTACCACGCCCAATGGAGACCATAAATCTCAAATTTGTGAAACACTGGATAAATGTTTGGTGGAGGTTAATAGACTGTGGGACCACATGTCCACAGAGATGTGGCCTTTGTAAAACCTGGGTGCCCCACAAGTGCAGAACACGAGTTAACGATGTGATGGCTTTACAAACGCTCCTGAACTGATGTGTCTGAAATAGCCTGTGGTGGAAACATTTGTAATATTTGGCCAGTGGTGACAAATGGCAGCTTGGCGACAGTCTACCGTGAAAGAACGTGCCCTTGAGGCCAGGATGTTTGTGGGGACTGGAGCGAATGCTACATTGCGGCATCAGTTTGGTGTTAAAGGATAAAGAGAGGTATGTGGAGAGAGAAGGTAGGGCTACCACTGTACTACGATAAGCTTTTCAAGAAGTCAATGACATGTCAATGAAGTCAGGACATGTCAGACCTCGGTTTTATTGCTGCACGAGAGTACATGTGGCCGTTTGAGGATGTAGGTAATGGAAGTACGTGTGTACATGTGTTAACTAAAAAAGTGTCAACAAATTAATTGTCTGCATTTCATTATCACACCTTGTTTCTCATGAAAGTAAATGCACACAAATAGGGTAATGGAACTGTTAAAAAAAGTCACTTTCCTGCAGAAAATGTTGATTGTTAATTTCAGTCAAATTATATGTTTTACTTTCTAGCTAATTTATACAGTATAAGGTTTGAAATTGTGTCAACCCTGTTTTAAATTTTTTTTTGCCAAAATTAAGCCACCACTCATTTGAAGCTATCTAGTTTGGGATCAAAGGTAGGCTTGTAGTTATGGATATCCATTTTTGACAAATAAATAAAATTTTAAATACTAATTGTTTGATAATTTTTTCTTACAATAACAGAGTTGAACAGTTAAGCTTGATCAATGCAGTCAACACTAGTATTCATGTAAATATTTAGAAAAAATGAATTATATTATTTTTTTTATATTATTTATTTTTGCTGCCATGTTGAAAGCGTCCAAATAATGTAACTTACTAGGAAATTTACCTTTTTTTGTAATGTGGGAATACATACAGTAACAGGGTTGCACACAAAATGCAAGACAAAACTAAAACTTGTTTCTGGTGGATAAAATCTGTTAAGTTTAAAAAAAGAATTTTGACTACAATTATTTGAAGTCAAAACTGTGCAAAATATTAATTATTATATATATATATAATATTATTATATATAAACAAATTATGTCAAAATAACAAGAAATGAGTAATAAACATTAAAAAATATATATATATTTTAACATTTTATATTATGTAATATTTGGAATTTGGATTTTATGTTATATTATGTAATATTTATTAATATTTTTAACATATCTAATCGACCTCATGATAAAAATCTATTGCATTAAAAAAAAAGTAATGCCACACTAAAATATATCCTATTCATGGAAAATGCGTTATACTCCCGTGAAATAAGAAATGTGTTGTTGACAGAGAGGCTATGAAGTCTTGGTTGGCAATCAAACAGCAACTTTCTTTTTAGAGCAGCAGGCAGTCACCATGTGTATTGTTGTTGTGGTACTCGTGGCCTGAAGCGTTTGTGTGTATGTTTGTGTCTGACACAGAGGCAAATTTAAGTTTATTTGTAGGGAGTCTATAGTATTTATGCATGCAGGGGACAAAGAATGGTTGTGTTTTGTCTGTTTATAGTAGTAGCGTATATGTTTGTGAGAAAGGACAATGTGTGCCTGAAGGTATTCCTGCAGTGACTCATCCAGGACTAAAACAAAAATAAAGCTTAATTTGTAGTTTGCTGTGGAAGGAAAAACACTTGTTACAAGGGAACGAATTAGTACACGGTGGCCACGATTGAGTAAAACGAGGAAACAAATCAGTACTATGTGACCACGGTTTAAAAAAAAAAAAAATAACGGAACGAATCAAGGTATGACATAACCAGTATTTAAAAATTTTCATATTTTGAACTATTCTACGGTAGCTTTTATCAGATTTCTTGTTTCCTTTCTTGTCTTTACATTATAAGGTCAAATTGACCCACAACTTGTGTAGTGCTTTGTTTATAAAAACATTTTCTGTTTAAATTTGTTTTATGAAGGAAGGATCAAATTGACTCCAAGGAAAGGCTAAACAAATTACTTTTCCATCTGAGATATGTCATATGTGTTTAATAACACAAGAAAGCCAGAGCATGTTTTCATGATGGTATTTCTCTTCATGTGTGCATGTGGCGGCTCATATTAGGAAGGTTAAAACCTGTTCGGTAGTGCATTATTGTGTACCTCAGATGTAGGCATGATTTCTTCCTTAGTATTTCTCTTCACATTCTCCCTATCTGAAGTAGACGGTTGCAGTGTTTATGCCTGTTGTGCATTAGTTGATGTTTATTTACTACATCCCTTAAACCCTTGGATGTTGGTATTTATCCTATTTACACATCAATATTACCTCTCCATGAGGGCCATAAGAGTGGCATTTAGGTGCTTGTATGTGCGGGTATTAAAATGCGCTCTGTGGCGTGTGGGGAGTGCGTTAGGGAATAGACTGGGCCCTCGCCTCCTATTACCCAGAATAAAAGTGTCAGCCACCTTAATTACATCCCTGCCTGCCTCTGCCGTTTTTTTACAGTGTCCCCGCTGCAGTGTCTGAATGGAGAAACTCTCCGTTACTACTGCTTTAGCTGGACACAAGAGGGGTTGCTAGAACTTTAGCAGAAATTCTGATATTTTACTTTGAATACTGACAGCGATGAAAAAAAAAAAAGTCTGTTGAAGTTCAGCATGCTGATGTTGCTTCAGCGATATATATATATATATATATTTCTGCCTCCATATCACGTGCGAGGCTCCATCGTAAAGAACATAAAAATTAGTTTTGATGGGGTGAAGTACATGTATGGTGTATGCATTGTAGTAGTCCAAAATTATTGATAAAAAAAAAAAACTGGCTCAGATCCTTTCGAATTTAGCACTGAAAACTGGCTCAAATCTTTTGTTGTTTCATTTCCACGATCACTCCTTATAATCTGGATATTTGAGTTCATTTGAGTTTTGTAATGAAAGCAGTGAATCATGGCTCCTTCTGACTGTCTGTTGCAACAAATGGTCTGGTGTGGTCATAGTCTGAGTTACCCAGTGGTCACAGGTCCAGCGTGTTGGTCTGGTGCTCGCGGGAATGGCCTACGGTGCTGAAGTGTGGATGGCAGTCGTGGGGCTGGGCGACACCCGGCTGTACTAATGGGTTTCGGCTAATCACCAGCTCAAGTCTGTCTCCGGCCTCTGTGATGAGCGGCACAGCTAAGCAGCAGTCGAAATCTCGTGTCCGCACGTGGTTCACCTGGTGGAAAAACATTTAGAGGATTTAAAATGATTAAGGATTGATTACATAATTATAAACGACAACATCTTAATGAAGGGCCTCTTTTGTTTAGTATCTTTTAGAATAAGAGTCTACAAATTACATTTTTAATTCTCCCATCACTAGCAGTAGCATGTTGTTATTGTTAACTTTAAACAATTTTTTTATTGTAAATCGCAATAAAGTTGAAATAAAATAAAATAAAAATATTACATGAAAACCATTAAGTATAAATAAATAAATGGGAAATGTTGGCAACTAACTGAAATAAAATAAGTTTAAGTACCACAATTACTAAAACTAAAAACTAGAATAAAAATAAAGCTAAAAAGAATTATATATTTTTTAAATAATAAAAATGACAAAAGCACATTACAAAATGACTAAAATTCAAATTCAAATAAAAATTGAAAATGAGAAAGCTAATTTAAAATATTAATAAATAGTATAGAAATAACACTGATGTTAGCATTTCATTAGCATATGCTAATCAGCTGAATTTGGTGATTTTTTTTTAGACAAAAGATTTTAAATCAAACTTGTTTTCTTAAATAATGCAATAAATAAATAAATAAAATAAATGAATAAGCAAATAAATAAATAAACAAGCATTTAATCAAAAAGCAACTCCCAGGATATGTCAGTTTTTCTTAAAAATAAATCATGGATCTGAGTATGTCAGAACTTTTTTTTATTTTATTTTTTTATAAAACTTTATGAAGTACATTATCTTAAGGTAAAAACTCTTTTATAAGTTTGAAAAACAAAATTTCACTGCAGAAAAAAAAACACCTACAATATTAACAAATGAGGATTTTATGACAAAATATTTTTAATCAAACTTTTTTTTTTCTAAAATATTGACTTAATGGTTTAAATGTTCTACAGAATTGTATTTTGTTATAGTCTGTAAAATAACTTTCATCAAACTAACGTTAATGGAACTTCAAGTTAAATTTGTTCTGAAAATTTCAACCCATTATTAAATATGAAAACAAGCATGCAAAACCAGACACCATAAAGCAAGCACCTACAACTAAACCATAGCATCTTTTTTCAACCTCCATAAGCAAACAAACTCTGCTTGTTGTGTGTTATCTGTGGTTAACACACCACAGCTGTTAAGCATAATCTTAAAACAGATTTAATCATTTCCACAGCCAGTGAAGTGTGGTAGATTAGCGAGAGTAAGACGTTCTCTAAGATTTGACCACAAGTGCTGTGTAGCCACGCAGAAGATCCAGTCAAATCACTTTTTAACTCGACATGTCCTCCTAGAGTCGAAGGCCTACTGACGCTCTCATACCTCATTCTGGCCCTCTCAGAGTGAGTTTATATTTAACGGAGCTGGGCAGATCGTATAGCTGGGGAAAGGGAGGGGGCGCTGGGAAACCATGCAGCGTGTGGTGATCTGAGAAGAGGCACCTGAAGGATCCTGTCGTACGGTTTGAGTCCAGAGCGGTCCGCTGGACCCTCAGGTCTGATCATGTTCACATAAACACCCTTTTCCAAGAAACCGTCCGATACGCTGAATCCAAAGTCATCGCTTTCTGGGTCCTTCATCACAGTCACCTGTTGAACACAAAAGTATTTGAACAATTTAACCATGTGCTAATTTCTTCTAAACATGTTCAGCAGATGATGTTGAAATCTTAAAGGAATAGGTCACAAAAATAAGTCCTTGGGTTGTAAAAAAATAAAAATAAAATAAATAAATACAATTATCTATCTATCTATCTATCTATCTATCTATCTATCTATCTATCTATCTGTCTATCTATCTAATTACATTTAATTAAATTATTTCTTTTTTTTTGTCATGTTGTCCAGTAAAAAAAAATCATGAGAAACAAATCTGCATAATAATAATATATTCTTAATATCTACAAAATATTCTTAATATACGCAACATTATTTTCAAGTAAATTAATCTAATTTTAAAGATGATTTTCCAAAACTGTATGCAGTTATTTACATCTTCTAAACAAAACAAAACAAACAAACAAACAAACATAAAAACAAAAAAAAAGCTAAGCAAAGCAAAACAACAACAACAAATGAAGCCAGAAAAACAAACAAACAAACAAACAAACAAACAAACAAACAAACAAACAAACAAACAAACAAACAAACAAACAAACAAACAAACAAACAAACAAACAAACAAACAAACAAACAAACAAACAAACAAACAAACAAACAAACAAACAAACAAACAAACAAACAAACAAACAAACAAACAAACAAACAAACAAACAAACAAACAAACAAAAAAACTACAAAACAAAATCTTCAAAACAACTCCTAGGACATGTCAGTTTGCCTCTGAAATAAACAAAGCAAAGCAAAACAAAAACAAAGCAAAGCATAGCAAAAAAACAAAGCAAAGCAAAGTAAAAAAAAAAAAAAAAGCAAACAAATCTTCAAAGCAACTCCCAGGACATGTAAATTTTCCTTGAAAATAAACCACAGTTATGTTGATGGGACAGATCTGTGCATCATAATTTATTGGTTTTGCATGAACTGCATGACGTATATCTTCAGGGAAAAATACTTTTTTGAGTTTGAAAAACAAAATGTCATGCTAAAGCACATAAAAAGCACGAGCAGTATTAATCAGTGAGGGGTGGAAGATGTAGTTTCCTGCCCTTTCCCAGGGACATTTTCTGAGATGAATGCTGTTCTTACATTCCCAGTGGTTACTAATACAAACCAAGCTGACCAAAACCTCAGAAGGAAGTGGAACTTGGGTTCAAACATGTGTTTAACTTATGTAGTGGAGTCCGCCCACCTTGTGCAGCTCTAGCGGTGTGGGCGACAGGATGTTAATTACATTTAATTAAATTATTTCTTTTTTTTTGTCATGTTGTCCAGTAAAAAAAAATCATGAGAAACAAATCTGCATAATAATAATATATTCTTAATATCTACAAAATATTCTTAATATACGCAACATTATTTTCAAGTAAATTAATCTAATTTTAAAGATGATTTTCCAAAACTGTATGCAGTTATTTACATCTTCTAAACAAAACAAAACAAACAAACAAACAAACATAAAAACAAAAAAAAAGCTAAGCAAAGCAAAACAACAACAACAAATGAAGCCAGAAAAACAAACAAACAAACAAACAAACAAACAAACAAAAAAACTACAAAACAAAATCTTCAAAACAACTCCTAGGACATGTCAGTTTGCCTCTGAAATAAACAAAGCAAAGCAAAACAAAAACAAAGCAAAGCATAGCAAAAAAACAAAGCAAAGCAAAGTAAAAAAAAAAAAAAAAAGCAAACAAATCTTCAAAGCAACTCCCAGGACATGTAAATTTTCCTTGAAAATAAACCACAGTTATGTTGATGGGACAGATCTGTGCATCATAATTTATTGGTTTTGCATGAACTGCATGACGTATATCTTCAGGGAAAAATACTTTTTTGAGTTTGAAAAACAAAATGTCATGCTAAAGCACATAAAAAGCACGAGCAGTATTAATCAGTGAGGGGTGGAAGATGTAGTTTCCTGCCCTTTCCCAGGGACATTTTCTGAGATGAATGCTGTTCTTACATTCCCAGTGGTTACTAATACAAACCAAGCTGACCAAAACCTCAGAAGGAAGTGGAACTTGGGTTCAAACATGTGTTTAACTTATGTAGTGGAGTCCGCCCACCTTGTGCAGCTCTAGCGGTGTGGGCGACAGGATGTCCTGAATCTCTTCTTTGATCCTCCGTGACTCCCAGGTCTTCTCGGACATGCGGAGCGTGCTCTTGTTCTTGGTCTCGTTCAGGAGATGCGGGGCTTTTCTCAGAGGGCTGAGGTGAGGTTGGCTGACTGTCTCGCCGTGGGCCTTTCCACCCTCTACACCCAAACTCAGGGCACTGCCGGTCATTATTGATGCCTACGGGTGGAAAACAACCACAAACATTGATTATTGGCTTTTTTACATGCCAACGTTCCTGAGTGTGTTGAACTCCTGTCATGTGAGAGGGCCTTTAGGCCACATCGTTTCAATAGGAAGCCTCTGATTGGGCTCTCATTAAGCAATTTTCTCATCTAATCAAACCCTATTAACCAGAGGATGTGAAGCCCATCCTCATTTGCCTTTAATGAGCTCCAGATCCATTTATTTCCAATGAGCTGCGACTGAAATGTGTGTTAATTGTGAGTTCAGGCATTTGTGACTCTTTGAAGCTGTAATTCAATAGGATTTAACTCAAACCAAGACACATAGGATCTACGCTCATGAAATCACTTTTAAAACACAGTTAGCGTACAATAAATTGCAGATTACTTGGAAAGCTGCAATCCATTATGCCTTTATAACCTTATACAGATTTCTGCTGGCTTGCACATACAGTAATACATGATTTTGAGAATGCAACTACAACAGATTCTTCTGTAAAGTCAATCAGAAACCACAAAGCACCTCTCCTAACCTTGTGATGAATATCCTTTAACTAATTTGTTGTTCAAAAATGCTTGGCCTTTAAAGCTTGTTTAGCTTATATTCTGTAGTATCACCAACTCTTGGATTCAATCTTTTTGGCAATTTGTTTTCTTTCAGTTAGCACAGTTTTTTTTTTTTTTTTGGAACTGATCGATTGTAGGCCTCATTGATCTAAACTGAGCTTTTTGAGGGAAAAATGCATTATTTGTGGATAATTTTGGCAACATTTACTCAAAAACTGAGGGGCATAAACTCAGATCAATGAGGTCTACAATCAACCAGTTCCCCAAAAAAAGGGTGCTAACTGAAAGAAAACAAATTGATAAAAAGGCTGAATCCAACATTTGGTGATAATATAACAATCCAATATCTTTTTATGAGCAAAGTCACTAAGTTTTATTCCAATGCACTAATATCATTTTCGGAATGAAATAAATTTAATGAAAATAAAATGAATGTTAACTGAAATAAAAATAAATATTAAAAAACTACCTTATTTCAGTTAGTTGCTAAGACAAAATTTAACATTTTCATTTAGTGATAACAATAAGCTAAAACTGAAATAAAAATTAAAAACTATTAAGAGGTTAGCAAACAATAACTAATAAAAATGACACAAACTACTGAAAGTTTAATACAATTTTAAATTAAAATCCAAACTATAAAAATAAAAGCATTTAAAATATAAATAAAAAACTACAATGATACTAAATGATACCAAAACAACACTAATGCAAATTGTGTCACTGTCATTTCATATCTTCGCTTAAAAAAGAAGTGTAGAAACTATTTTCACTCAGAAATCGGTAGTAAATTGTAGTAATAATTAGTAGTAAATCACAATCAATTAAAAAAGAAATGGCAAGTAACATGAATAATCAATTTGAAAAAAAAAAATAAATAAATTTAATCGTGTTCATGTCATTACAAACCTGTATGACTGACTTTATTCTGCACAACAAAAAAAGAAACATTGTGAAGAATGTGCTGGCTGCTCTTTTCCACATAAATTCCTTTAATGACTGTTGAGTCAAATACGTTTGATGTCACTGACATGAAACCTGGAATGACTTGCCTAAGCACCGCATATTTGAACAAACGCCAATGCGAATTATATTTCTGTTTCAGTATGTTCCACACACAAAGCTACCGTGTGACTTCAGAAGAGTTGACAGCAACCCATTCACTGCTATTACACTGAAAACAGTGCCAGCACAGGACAAAACATCTCCTTTTGTGTTCCATAGAAGACAGAAAGTCAAGTATCGATGAAGAAACATGTCATCCCTGGCTGACCTTGCTTGCCAGTGTCATCAAACATCTGATAAAAACACTTCCCCATACTTTCGTAACTCTCCTTTTTTGCTTGTGTAAGAACAGAGCTCATTGTTTTGAACCATCAGGCATGAAATGAGCCATCAGTCACCATTCAGAGTCCGATGTTGTGGTAGCAGGATTGTAGTGGTTGGTGATTTGGGATTTCCAACTTTAAAAAAGGGAATTCACAAGAATGATCTGCGCCTGCTGATGGTGGTGTGTATTTGCATGCACCGTCTGTGGTGTTTTAGCACTCGACTCACTCCAGGAATTATTTAAATAAGGTAACGGTGCAAACACAGGCCAAAAAATGTGCTGAAAGCAACTTTCACCGCACAATTCCTCATCTTGAAGGCAAGATTTAAGTGGAGGACACGGCAGATTACCACAATCTGACATAATTCACTGGGACTGAACAGCATTGCTCAACCACTGAACTCCAAAGAGCTTCGGAAGCCTTTCTATGAAACATGTGCACGTGCCTTTTAAATTATTGTTGTTTTATTTAAAACATTAAAAGACAAATAATAGATAATTTCAAGTTAAATTAATAATAAAAAAAATTATAATAATAACAATTATATACACTTTCTCTTCATTCTCTTCATTTAAAATGACACTACAATTTTGAGATAAATAAGTCTAAAAAAGAATAATGAATAAAAAAAAGAATGTTTTCTTAATTAAAATATTTTCAGTTTTCGTTATGATTTTAATTTAAGTTTGAGCAATTTTCTTATGTGCTTTGCCATTTTTAGTTTTAGTTGAAATATTTCCATTTAGCTTTATTAGTTTTTTCTGGAATTTTAGTATGTTTTATGTTTTAAAGATTTTCATTTGATATTTATATATTATTTTATTTCAGCTTTATTACATACTATTTTTATTTAAATAATAAATATTATTGTTATTACTTCATTTTTTTTAATGGACCCTTCCATTCCAAACTATAGAAATTTGCCCAACTATGACGATTTCTGCTTCTGAGAACCCTTGAAATGTGAAAAGGGTCCATTAACATATTAATTACATAATATTTAATTAATTTGTGATTGTGTTAAATGCATCAAGTGACTCTTACATAATTGATATTGACATCATTACACCGCAAGTGCAAGCTATCAACTTTTTCTTCACAGAAACGCCATCATTCCTTTTATTCGTTCATTTCTATCTAATCTGTGAGATGATTAAATCATCATGGCAGCAGTTTACCTCGATCTCGCGCAGTAGCTCAGACTGGCCGCAGGTCTCCAGGTCTTCCAGGGCCTGGCACCAGAAACTGTCCTCCTGCTCCAACACGAGGCCGTCGGCATGCATCTGGCTGCTGTATCTGCGGCACACACACACACACACACATTAGAGCCAATAAGGCATGAGGCACTTAAGCTGGCACCCACATCCGGCACTCTGGCACCAGTCTTGGCATGTTAAGAAGTACTGCAAGGCTGGGTGGAGAGGAGCATCCTGTGAGAGAAACTATAGGCCTGAAGATTTTAGCTTTAGTTATAGTTATTATGTGCTGTTTGTGCTTTTGTCATTTTATTAACATTTCACACACACACACACACACACATATACATACAGTGGAGATCAAAATTAGACAACCTACAATTTCCTAAATTTCAAGTTCACTGCTTAGTCCCATTTGAAGCTATTCTAACAGGAGTAGAAGGGCAGTTTTTTAAGCATATTTCATAAATTAATTGTAGTGTGAAGCACAGTATAAAAAAACTTTTAATTTAAATAGTTGAAAAAGAACTCACAATTAGAGAACACTTACAGATACCTCCAAGTTATTGGTGTTAATCTTACACCTGGTGCTAATTTCTTTAATTATACGACAAACCCTATTTAACTGGCAGCTTTCCACTAATTTTCACTGAGATTGCAAGATGGCGGGCCACTCTAAGGTGACTGAAAGCCTGCGACAACAAGTTGTCCAGATGAAGGCTAAATAGATGACCCTTTCAGTCACTGCAAGAGAAGTTGGCCGTTCTAAATCTGTGGTTTCTTGAATATTGCAGCTTTACAATAACACTAATTCATTCAAGTCCCCCAGAAAGGCTGCTCGTCCACATAAGACGAATGCAGGAGAGAACAGGATGATGAAGAGACTCTCAATGGGGACTCGGTTCAGCACTGCAGCTGGAATTGCTCGCCTAATTCATTCAGAAAGGCTGCTCGTCCACATAAGACGAATGCAGGAGAGAACAGGATGATGAAGAGACTGAAGAGACTCTATTTCAGTTAGTTGCTAAGACAAAATTTAACATTTTCATTTAGTGATAACAATAAGCTAAAACTGAAATAAAAATTAAAAACTATTAAGAGGTTAGCAAACAATAACTAATAAAAATGACACAAACTACTGAAAGTTTAATACAATTTTAAATTAAAATCCAAACTATAAAAATAAAAGCATTTAAAATATAAATAAAAAACTACAATGATACTAAATGATACCAAAACAACACTAATGCAAATTGTGTCACTGTCATTTCATATCTTCGCTTAAAAAAGAAGTGTAGAAACTATTTTCACTCAGAAATCGGTAGTAAATTGTAGTAATAATTAGTAGTAAATCACAATCAATTAAAAAAGAAATGGCAAGTAACATGAATAATCAATTTGAAAAAAAAAAATAAATAAATTTAATCGTGTTCATGTCATTACAAACCTGTATGACTGACTTTATTCTGCACAACAAAAAAAGAAACATTGTGAAGAATGTGCTGGCTGCTCTTTTCCACATAAATTCCTTTAATGACTGTTGAGTCAAATACGTTTGATGTCACTGACATGAAACCTGGAATGACTTGCCTAAGCACCGCATATTTGAACAAACGCCAATGCGAATTATATTTCTGTTTCAGTATGTTCCACACACAAAGCTACCGTGTGACTTCAGAAGAGTTGACAGCAACCCATTCACTGCTATTACACTGAAAACAGTGCCAGCACAGGACAAAACATCTCCTTTTGTGTTCCATAGAAGACAGAAAGTCAAGTATCGATGAAGAAACATGTCATCCCTGGCTGACCTTGCTTGCCAGTGTCATCAAACATCTGATAAAAACACTTCCCCATACTTTCGTAACTCTCCTTTTTTGCTTGTGTAAGAACAGAGCTCATTGTTTTGAACCATCAGGCATGAAATGAGCCATCAGTCACCATTCAGAGTCCGATGTTGTGGTAGCAGGATTGTAGTGGTTGGTGATTTGGGATTTCCAACTTTAAAAAAGGGAATTCACAAGAATGATCTGCGCCTGCTGATGGTGGTGTGTATTTGCATGCACCGTCTGTGGTGTTTTAGCACTCGACTCACTCCAGGAATTATTTAAATAAGGTAACGGTGCAAACACAGGCCAAAAAATGTGCTGAAAGCAACTTTCACCGCACAATTCCTCATCTTGAAGGCAAGATTTAAGTGGAGGACACGGCAGATTACCACAATCTGACATAATTCACTGGGACTGAACAGCATTGCTCAACCACTGAACTCCAAAGAGCTTCGGAAGCCTTTCTATGAAACATGTGCACGTGCCTTTTAAATTATTGTTGTTTTATTTAAAACATTAAAAGACAAATAATAGATAATTTCAAGTTAAATTAATAATAAAAAAAATTATAATAATAACAATTATATACACTTTCTCTTCATTCTCTTCATTTAAAATGACACTACAATTTTGAGATAAATAAGTCTAAAAAAGAATAATGAATAAAAAAAAGAATGTTTTCTTAATTAAAATATTTTCAGTTTTCGTTATGATTTTAATTTAAGTTTGAGCAATTTTCTTATGTGCTTTGCCATTTTTAGTTTTAGTTGAAATATTTCCATTTAGCTTTATTAGTTTTTTCTGGAATTTTAGTATGTTTTATGTTTTAAAGATTTTCATTTGATATTTATATATTATTTTATTTCAGCTTTATTACATACTATTTTTATTTAAATAATAAATATTATTGTTATTACTTCATTTTTTTTAATGGACCCTTCCATTCCAAACTATAGAAATTTGCCCAACTATGACGATTTCTGCTTCTGAGAACCCTTGAAATGTGAAAAGGGTCCATTAACATATTAATTACATAATATTTAATTAATTTGTGATTGTGTTAAATGCATCAAGTGACTCTTACATAATTGATATTGACATCATTACACCGCAAGTGCAAGCTATCAACTTTTTCTTCACAGAAACGCCATCATTCCTTTTATTCGTTCATTTCTATCTAATCTGTGAGATGATTAAATCATCATGGCAGCAGTTTACCTCGATCTCGCGCAGTAGCTCAGACTGGCCGCAGGTCTCCAGGTCTTCCAGGGCCTGGCACCAGAAACTGTCCTCCTGCTCCAACACGAGGCCGTCGGCATGCATCTGGCTGCTGTATCTGCGGCACACACACACACACACACATTAGAGCCAATAAGGCATGAGGCACTTAAGCTGGCACCCACATCCGGCACTCTGGCACCAGTCTTGGCATGTTAAGAAGTACTGCAAGGCTGGGTGGAGAGGAGCATCCTGTGAGAGAAACTATAGGCCTGAAGATTTTAGCTTTAGTTATAGTTATTATGTGCTGTTTGTGCTTTTGTCATTTTATTAACATTTCACACACACACACACACACACATATACATACAGTGGAGATCAAAATTAGACAACCTACAATTTCCTAAATTTCAAGTTCACTGCTTAGTCCCATTTGAAGCTATTCTAACAGGAGTAGAAGGGCAGTTTTTTAAGCATATTTCATAAATTAATTGTAGTGTGAAGCACAGTATAAAAAAACTTTTAATTTAAATAGTTGAAAAAGAACTCACAATTAGAGAACACTTACAGATACCTCCAAGTTATTGGTGTTAATCTTACACCTGGTGCTAATTTCTTTAATTATACGACAAACCCTATTTAACTGGCAGCTTTCCACTAATTTTCACTGAGATTGCAAGATGGCGGGCCACTCTAAGGTGACTGAAAGCCTGCGACAACAAGTTGTCCAGATGAAGGCTAAATAGATGACCCTTTCAGTCACTGCAAGAGAAGTTGGCCGTTCTAAATCTGTGGTTTCTTGAATATTGCAGCTTTACAATAACACTAATTCATTCAAGTCCCCCAGAAAGGCTGCTCGTCCACATAAGACGAATGCAGGAGAGAACAGGATGATGAAGAGACTCTCAATGGGGACTCGGTTCAGCACTGCAGCTGGAATTGCTCGCTAGTTCAGTGCTGAACAGGGTCTGGATCTGTCATGGCACGTTTAAGAGAAGTCGGACTGAAAGCATTTATATTTTTTAATATATTTTTTTTATTTTCTCGCCTCCTATCATTAAGCAAACAACTTGACTTTTCTATAAAAAGAAGGAAAAATTGAATAGTTTTTTTTTCTTGTATGCGACAGATGTGCTACACATATGTTACGAATGACAAATTTGGTGAAGAAATATATATATATATATATATATATATATATACAGGTGCATCTCAATAAATTAGAATGTTGTGGAAAAGTTCTGTGATGATTTGGGGTGCAATGTCATCTGCTGGTGTTGGTCTATTGTGTTTTTTGAAAACCAACGTCACTGCACCCGTTTACCAAGACATTTTGGAGCACTTCATGCTTCCTTCTGCTGACCAGCTTTTTGAAGATGCTGATTTCATTTTCCAGCAGGATTTGGCACCTGCCCACACTGCCAAAAGCACCAAAAGTTGGTTAAATGACCATGGTGTTGGTGTGCTTGACTGGCCAGCAAACTCACCAGACCTGAACCCCATAGAGAATCTATGGGGTATTGTCAAGAGGAAAATGATAAACAAGAGACCAAAAAATGCAGATGAGCTGAAGGCCACTGTCAAAGAAACGTGGGCTTCCATACCACCTCAGCAGTGCTACAAACTGATCACCTCCATGCCACGCTGAATTGAGGCAGTAATTAAAGCAAAAGGAGACTCTACCAAGTATTGAGTACATGTACAGTAAATGAACATACTTTCCAGAAGGCCAACAATTCACAAAAAATTTTTTTTTTTATTGGTCTTATGAAGTATTCTAATTTGTTGGTGGGTTTTTGTTAAATGTGAGCCAAAATCATCACAATTAAAAGAACCAAAGACTTAAACTACTTCAGTCTGTGTGCATTGAATTTATTTAATACACGAGTTTCACAATTTGAGTTGAATTACTGAAATAAATGAACTTTTCCACGACATTCTAATTTATTGAGATGCACCTGTATATATATGTGTGTGTTAAATCAGAGTAAAAGGATGGAAGAGGAATTAAGAAAATCGAACACCAATACTTGATTCTGTTTTAAATAAAATACTTAAAAAGACTGATTTAGTGTGAATGGAAAAAGAAACATTTTTCAAAAAAAAAAAAAAAAAATCTGTTTTTTTTTCCCATTCCAAATATTTCATATAGCCTTTATATGACTAAATACAGCTATATAAAAAAGTATTTACTGTAAAATATTTTAAAACTCAAAACTTTTATTTTTATGTTTTTTGTTTTCATTTTTTTTAGTTCTAACAATTAAAATTAACAATTTTAATTTTATGTGTAGTTTTTACAAATTTTTTGTCATTTTTTAAATATTTCAATTAGCTTTCAAAGTTTTCGTTATTTTAGTACAATACTTCGACTGAAAAGGAAATTTGAAATTTTGTCTTGGCAAAAAAAAAAAAAAAAAAAAAAAAAAAAGAACAAAATAAATAAATATTTTTCATTAATTAATTAATTTTTTTTAAAATCTAATATTTATATATTTTTCAGCTTTATTTCAATAACCAAAAAAGTTAAAATTTTTAAAAAGTTTTCATTAACAATAGCAACACTGAAAAGAATATAGTATGAGACACTATATTTTCTTCCTATTTCAAGCTTGTTTCTGGGTTCCTGTCTTACCCGGCAGCTTTATCCCAGTCGTCCTCACTGAATCCCCCGTCACTGAAGGGGTAGTTTTTGCGGCGGGTTGGAGGAGACGTGCTGTTCCTCTGCTTGGTGTTACGCCATTCGTGAGGGTGTAACGCAATCCCAGCAGCCTGATGGATGTAGGCACCTTTGGAGGAGGATCAGGTCATGTTTCACTGAGGCTGTCAATAGATGACCAACACAGAGATTTATCGTGAGACGAGTAACGCTCACCTTGGCTGCTGTATCCGGCGTCGATTCCTGAGCCGTCCCATGACTCCATGGCCGAATCCATGCTGGGGATGGTGGTGGAATAAAGGTCCGACAGTTTATTGGTCTTCTGCGAGTCGGTCATCTCATCCTCGTTATCACTGAGCTCGTTATCCAGATCGTTCTCTTTATTTTTATCATCTGGTGCTGAAGGGGGAATGACAATTATCAGATGATCAAATATCATGTTAACAGAATAACAACAGGTTATGTGTGAACAGATTTATCAAGTTTAAACGCGTGTATTTTATGTAAATAAAAAAGCAGATACTTTGTATAAAATGGTAAATGCCTTGATTTCATTGTTAGAAAGCTGCAACATACAGATAATTTATGCAATAAGCCAGTATTTAGGTGACAAGTCAATGATTCTTATTTAATATGAGTAACTAAAACATACTTATTATGATTATGATTATTATGATTAATTAAACACTTCGATAATTTGATAAACTACTTTATTAGTGAAAACATTTTGCCCCAATTAACTGTAATAAATATTATTAAATAGCAATGTAAAGAAAATGTATATAAATGATATTTAATGATATGTATTACAATTAATTGGAGAACATTTTTAATAGAGTAGCTTATCAAATTATCAAAGTAGTCAGAAGATGCCAAAATGGGGGAGAAACATATTATATTATATTATATTATATTATCTTACTGATACTACTACTACTACTACTACCAATAATAATAATAATAATATTAATAATAATAATAAAGATGTAAATGTAATGGTTCTGTTCAAATAAAACTTAAACTTTTTCTAATTATATTTATTAAAATTAATTGGGGGGGAATGTTTTCACTAACAGAGCATCTTATTAAACAACCAGAAGACCCCAAAATAGGGGGAATGAGGAGAGAAATGTATTATATTATAGTATACCATATTACATTATATGAAAAGATAGATAAAACATGTAAAATATATTATATATTTTTTCCCATAAAAAATAAGGCCTATTTTAGGACCGTTAAGTGCATACAGTAGTGTATAGTTTGAGACGTACTGTCGGTCTGTTTCTTGATCTTGAGGGTGACGGTTTCTCCTGCCATCTGCAGCAGGTGTATGGCTTCACTGAGCGGCTTCCCCTTCAGACTGACGCTGTTGATGGCCAGAATGCGATCGCCAACGTGAATGGCTCCAGTCCTGTGACAACAGACAACAACCACACAATGTGCAACCATATGCATTAAGAAATATTCATATGAAATCTTTGCAATTTAATATTAAATGCTTGAAAATGATGCTAGGAGAGGAAAAGGTCATACAACCATTAAAAAATGAACCATTCAGGGATATGGGAAGCCAAACACACCAAATGTGGACGAAACTGTGCAGTGAAAACAAGCATATTTCCGCGGAGCAGTGATGAATTAAGAAATGCCGCGCTGGTGAGATTAGGTTGTGCCGCTCGGTCCACTGAGCTCTGTAACATTGCTCCGTTTCGGCTCACATTTGGTGTGTTTGGCGTCCCATTTAGGGTGGATCAGTGTGACCTGTGGCTCACCTCTCAGCGAGACCCCTCTTGGTCAGGCCTGAGATGATGATGGGGTCAAAGGGCTCCTCGGTGCCGGAGATGGTGATGCCCAGCGGGCCGCCGAACCTCTTCAGCTCCACCGTGTAGATGATGGAGCCTGACGACTCCTGCTCGTCTGGACCACAAACATAACACTTTACCAGTTGGTCAGTCAAAAGAGGCGTTTCTACTGTTCGGTATCATTTTGAGGATGCTTTGGAAATGTATTCAGATCATCATATTATGAATATTCAATGAATAATTCAACAATGTGAACAGAGGAGCTCGGCATTTACATTTTCTCTTGATTTGCTCTTGGAGCTGGAAACAGGTCAGACAGATATTTTCATTTCAAAGCGACCATGAGACACTTGAATCGATTCCTCTGCTATTTTGACCACAGACTGTGTTTCACCTCATAACAGAAAAGGAACTTTTCTAGCAACATGCTGAAGCTGAGATGTCAATCATGTCAACAAAAAGTTACTACATAATTCCCATTTGAGTAATTTGTATAGTTTTGATGACTTTACTGTTGTTCTAAAATGTGGAAAATAGTAATAATAATAATAAAAAAAAATAATAATTAGGTGTGGCCAGTGTTTGATTGGCAGGATTTACAGTTGCATCCTTGAACTAATTCACATTTGAAGAAGTTTTGCTGTAATATACTGACACCTAGCGGTCAAATGTTGAATTACACACTGACATGCATTCTGTATGATTTTCTAATTAGATGTTTAATATCAAAACAGTGTTGGATATTTTATTTTGGATTGATTTTGGACTGATTTTGGAATAACTTGGGTTATATAACTGGGTCATACTTCATATTTCATCATATATTTCTAACAGCCAAAAAAAATAAATAAAATAAAATAAAATAAAATGTAAATGTATTTTAAAAAAATTATATGCATTTTATTTTTTATTGCATTTTATATGTATCGTCATAAATGAAAAAAAAGTAATAAATGACAAATATTAAAATTTAAAAAAAAATGTGTATTCTAATTATATATATATATATATATATATACACACACACACACAAACATCAGGATTTAGATTTCTATGAACAAAAAAAAAAACAATAAAAATAAATAAATAAAATAAAAGGGATACTAAAAGATTTGTATTTCTAAGAGGCAAAACATTCATTTAGAATAATTTAGCATAAAGAAAGCATATTTTGAAGACTCATGAAAATTTCAATTCCTAAGTGTTTGTGTCAGTATTGTAAAGTGCTTGTTCGTACCTGTGTGCCATGCTGCCTTTTTTAATGTCAGATATGATAAGAGGCTCTCCTGGTTTCTTACTGGCTGTAGAAAGATGGGAAAACAAATCAACAGTACAGTGTTTCAGTGTATCTCACACACTAAAGCGCGCGCACACACACACACAGTAAAACACACCCCAGCAAACACAATTTCAAGGCAAAAATGGAAACTCTTATCTGGATCCAGCATGAACGTGAGCCAGAGGTTCAAAGAGAATATTTTGCGTAAATGGAATAAAACATTTTAAGAGCAGACGTGTAAAGATTCCCAGCATCCACTGACTGTTCATCTTTTAAATGTTTTAAGTGTTTTCATCACGGGTAAAGCAAAAAAAAATTTATATATACAGTATATACACACACACACACCCACACACACACATCATGGTATTTAAATGGTACTCAAAGCCAATTCAACGAATACCATAATAATAATAATGTATAATACTGTATAATGTATTTATTCTATTCCAATGAATTAAACTTCCAGGGAACTGCACTGATAAAATGAGTCCTTTGAAGGTAAATATGTGTCTTTTGATTAAAAATATATATATTTTAATAATGACAAATTAAATTGAAACACTGAATTACAACACACACAATTAAAATTATTATATCATAAATCATTAATATAAAATAACAAATTAAATGAACATTGAAACAGTATATAATAAACAATAACATATAATATTAATAATATATAATATTTTATGGGAACACACATGCTAAGAAAATGTGCTATGAATGCACTGAGAACCACTCGTGTTATTTTCACTCTTGCAATCTCAAAAAAAAAAAACGTTTTTTTATCCATCAACAAGGTCATAGTTGGGGTTTGAAACCATTTTGGTTACTCTACCAAACGGGCATGTTTTTAATCAGCCAGTCTCCAGTTATTACATTATAGATCTGATTAATTGACATGACTGATATATATATACAGTATATGGTTAACGGTAAATTCCCCTACTATATACGGTGAAAAACTGTATTGGACATTACATGTATTGGACATTAATTTTACGGTAGTATACCGTTTTTGGAAGTGAAAAAGACTGTATAATTTACAGTGAATAACCGTAAATTGACATTCCCAGAATTCCCTGCGTTACATTTCAAATTTGACGTTTTTTTGTTGAAATAACTATGTTTCTTAGTTTTTTCTTATCAGTTTTGTACATTAGGGTTGTATGTTACACCTAATGTTGTTAAATGAATGTTTATTGCATTATTTCAGTTTCATGTGTGTTACCATGATGGTGTTTAGTGTTTGTGTGAATGACACTGTGCACCTTCTTTATATGTTATTATTTAAAAGCTGCTTGTGATGGGCTTTGGTTCATCATGTGACTTTCTCATCACCACCTGCATTTGGTGGTTATCAGTGTATTACAAAGGTACAAAACAGATTTCAGTACTTCAATAGGTTGGTATATTAACATTATATCAGTTAATAAAATTACGGTATTTAACTGTAAATTTAAGTTAAAACCGTAAAACCTAAAATGTTGCTACCATATTTCTTACGGTAAAATTCCGGCAACCACAGCTGCCAGTTTTTTACCGTAAATTTTACGGATTTGTTTTTTACAGTGAAAAGATTCAGGTTCAAATCTGATTTGAAAGTGCCTCACACACATTACTATACGCCAAGCACGGTATTTTAAGACGTTTCAGATGTCTGAAGGACAAGAAAAGAACTGCACTTAAACATGTGCGGCTGTGAATCTGACAGAAGTGGTCAGAGTCTGTTCACTGATGGATAGAGTTCTTTGTGCATGTGGTACAAATGCAAAGCCTGTGATTCATATCAACACGCGTGCAAGTATAATACAAGTTTAATGGCCTATGATCCCTCAGGGTTTACGCCTTACAGAAGCTTTAGAGGAACGTCAGATGGAAAGAAGCCAGCTCAAGTAAACAAGCCCACGGAAAGCCTGCGAGAGTCACATAAACATTTCCTCAGAAAAGGAGGCTCTGTTGATCAGGGCTAATATAATGACAAGGACGAGACGAGACGAGACGGGACGCCCCAGATCGGGTGTTCTGGATACAAACATGCTCCGTGAGGAAAACCGATATGCAGACGTATTTAATGACACAGAGCATGATGTCAAAATATTTGTGTGGGTTTATTTCCCGTGGATTTTGGGATATAAAGTTGAACTGCGTCTTGGCGAGTTTGAAAAGCGAAACGGAGAATGGTAAAATAGGCCAGGGAGAGAGGGATCTTAAAATCTCCTCCAAAAAAGATTCAGAGGGAATGGCTTAAATGTTTTTGGGGATGAAAACAGATCAGGAAAGCAAAAAGAAAAAAAAAATCTTGCCGACTTTCCAATACATGACAAGACTTTTAGAGTGATATCTTTACAAAAATAAATGCAAATTAGCAATCCTAAAGTAAACTTACTTAAATTGACCTTAAATGACACAAGCCACCAATACTGTAACACTCTGCTTATATTATTACTGTTATTACTTTATCTTGCTCATTTACATATAGCAGTTTTTGCATATTAAAATAGTGTTTTTATTAAAATCAAGTCACAAAATATTGTTTTAATCACTACAATTATGTAACATAAATGTTTTGTATATTTGTGTCTATTTTGTTCATATAGTCATTTTTTGGCAGTCGTAGTAACATTTGTTATTGAAACCAAACCATATAAAAGTCTTTTGAATATCTTTGCTACAAAAAAATAATTACACTAATAGAGTAAAATATAGTAAAATTAAATAAAATTTTCTATATTTTAAATGATATAAAAAGTAACTTTGATTGTAATTGGTTTTATTAATTAATTTATTAAATCAACATACTAGAATGATTTCTGAAGGACCACGTGACACTGATTTTAAAATATATTAAAACAGAAAACAGTTATTTTAAATTGTAATAATATTTCACAAGATTGCTGTTTTTACTGGTGAGCAGAAGAGACTTTCAAAAACATTAAAACAATTATTTTCCCAAACTTTTAATTGGTAATGTGTATACATACACATATTATCATAACAAACTAGGATCAAAGTGACTTGGTTTAACTTTGAACAGTTTTATTTTTGAACATTATTTTTAAGATATTTTTGTAATTACTTCAGTAACACAAGATTACTTTGTATATCTTAAATCTATTAGCACAAACTGTCGTGGCTATAATTAATATGATTGACTTTATTAGTAAATCAGATTATTACTATCCAAATTATCAGGAAACATTGCATGGGTGATGGTGGCAAGTGTGGATGTTAACCTTAAATTTATTAGCTAAAAAACATCTCGCTGAACATTTGTATGTCATTTGCAGGTTACTGTGAGACAGATAACCAAACATTATGATGCCTGAGTAGATAAGTTGTTTCTTCACATCTAAGTGGGCAGTTCTTACCAAAATATGCTGCAATGTTGACCAAGCTAAGTGAAGAAGATTCCCAGACCCTTGACACACTATTGAAAAATTAATAGTGAGATCTTACCACTGATTGTGATGCCCAGATCCACTCCTCTTTTCTTCTGCAGCTTCACATGAAATGTTCCACTGCTAGGCACAACAGATTCTGGCCATACATCAAAAAAACAGCATTAAGATGAAGTACAAGTGTGATTTTCAATCAAATAGCAATAAAAACTGAAAACAAAGCAAGAAATTCATGTCTTAAGACCTCTTTGTGGAAAATGTAGAAATTAACGTTTTAAGAAATTGGAAACCTCTCTAACCTGCCACATCAAACTCAATCTCTAGCGTGACCTTATTGGCCAGAGCAGCATCCCGGAGCAGCTGATTGGCCTCCTCCAGCGTTCCATCTTCTGTAGGAATTCCATTGATGGATAAGACTCTGTCTCCAACCTGGAGAAGCCCACACCTGCCAATCAAAATAAGATAGAAGGACTAAAATGCTCTAGAAATGGTCATTTCATGTTCCCTTCCTCCAGCGACTGAATCACTGTCAGTCCGAACACCTCTTAAAGGGACAGTTCAGCCAAAAATGAAAATTCTGTCATCATTTACTCACCCTCAAGTTGTTTCCAAACCTGTATGAGTTTATTTCTTCTGTTGAACACAAAAGAAGAAAGCTGGTAACCAAACAGTTGCTGGTAGCCATTGACTTCCATAGTATTTTTCTTCCATGCTATGGAAGTCAATGGCTACCATCAACTGTCTGGTTACCAACATTCATAAATGATGACAGAATTTTCATTTTCGGGGGAACTATCCCTTTAAATGGGCGGTTCCTGGCCAAAATAATGTGCAACGTGGACCAGACTTCATGCCAATAGTCAAAAGTCTGACTGAAAACCATTTCAAAAGTTGTTGATTTTTTTCAAACACAACAACAAAAATGCATGATTTACTTGTTTTCTCAGGTTTCTATATGCAAGCCCAGTGTCACTGTGGGTAACCATGTGTGCATGGAAGAGAACAACTGACCTGACATGCCATGACTTCCAGCCCAAACACCACAAATGTCACACACTGCCACAGTACAACACAGCTCAACACACATCAAATCACTTGCTTCATGCTACAACAATCTCACACCAGGAATGACTCATGCACTGAGCTTCAAAAACAAACAGAAACGGACACATTTACAAATCTGAATATAATTACAGAGAGTTTATTTAGGGCCTCATCCAGTGACGGCAAATACAGTAAAATGTCGAGCTTGGCTCCATTGAGGCCTTTGTTTTTGTTGGGTTTGCTGGCATGTCTTTGGAAAGAGTGTGTGATTGTATCAACTTAGTCTCAGACGTTTAAGATAAAATAAAAAAGAATCTCAAATAAAAAGAGACCCGTGAGACAGTTGGCGTACAGTAAGAAGAGCTATAGTTAGCAAAATGCTAGCCAAATGATAGCAAAACAGCTGAAATAGCACCTTTGTAGCAATTTGGTTCCACATGTTCCTACAATTTCTTCGGACAAATACAAAGAGACCCATGAGACAATTGTTAACATACAGTAAGAGTTTAGAGCCAATTAACAAAGTTCGCCAAACAATGGATGTAGCACTTTTGTATCAACTTAGCCAAATGTTAGCAAAAAGTTAGCAAAGCAACTGATGTGACAACTTAGTTTCAGATATCTCTTCTGAAATTCTCTGGGACAAATAAAAAGAGACACAAACAAAACACTTTTCGAGATAAGAGTTTAAAGCTATAGTTAGCAAAATGTTAGTATAAACTTAGTCTCAGATGTTTCTCCTAAAAGTCCTTTGATCAAATAAAGAGTCCCAACTGAGACAACTGTTGACATACAGTAAAAGTTTAGATTTTCGACTTCTGGTTTAAATCTTTGGTATCTTGGCAAATCCAAGAGCAGTTTGAAACATTATTGAGATTTCTTGTGAAACTCTGGATGTGATGTGAGATTACTAGGGTCTTTTTAGCTTGGGTGCATGAGACCCAAGTTAGGATCCATTAGCTCTCCCATTTAATCTCACTGCTGTCTAGGAAAAAGCATTTGAGATGTTAAAGAGATTCTCTTGTCATTTGTCTTTCCAGTGGATTGGAGATGGTCCTCACTGCAGAGGTCCTCACTCACAAGATCCAGGGAGCGTGGTTGGATCCAGATCCAACTCCTCCCACCTTACATATACCTAAACCTACCCGTCTCCACCCCCTGCTCCCTACACCCACCCATCTCCACCCCTAAACCC